AGACGATTTTAGCTTTAATCTAGTAATCATTCCATGGGCCTCTTGTCTGGATGAACGAGTGGTACAGTCTTTTAATTCTTCCATTTTGATTTTAGTTACTTTGGATTACAACAGGGTTTCTCAACTTTAAGATGTGAGGACTTTAAGCATGCTGGGAGTTGGAGTCTACATAGCTTAAAGATGCTGAGGTTGAAAAATGCTGGATTACAGCAGTGGTTCCCAAACTTGGCAACTTTAAGACTTGTGGACTTCAACTCCCAGAATTCTCCAGCCAGCTCTGCTGGATTACAGGATTGATTTCTAAATCTTATATCATTTTTCAAAAATTAACTAGAAGATCTGCAAATACCACTGGGGGCTGTGTAACCTTTTTTTTTGAGGGGAAGGGAGAAAATTGTGACTTGTGCACACATATATAACCATTTTATTAGCAGTAACAGGGGCCTGTTTTCTATTCATGCTATGCACTGTGAACCCTTGATTTTGTTGTTTCAAACAAAAGCCACCAATGTTATGTAGCAAAATCAGCATACTGGAAACACCACTAACCAGGTGTTTATCTGCTGGGTCGGACTCCAGCTCCCATAATTACTAATCAGCATGGAGACTGGGGGTGATGGAAACCAAAACACCTCGATGAGGTTTAGATGTAGAACTCCAAAATCAAATTACGGTAATTTCATGTGTCCAATTTTTTTTTAAAAAAAATGTCTTTGCTTTCAAATAGGAGAAGTGGAATTGATTTCCAAATAAAAGGGCTATATGATTGCACAACGGTGTGTATATATATATATGTGTGTACTGAGTGCAGATGTGCGTGAGTGCCATGCCTTGTTAGACATGTGGAGACAGTTTGCCAGCTCATCCTCTGGGATCAAGATGTAATTCTAGGCAAATACGATTCTCCCCTAAAACTGAATGCACACATTAACTCCAGTGCAGGGTAGAGAACTAGGAAACTATTTGGGTTTTATCACTCTGCTTTTACATAGAGCAGAGGTCTGCAAACTTGACAGCTTTTAAGACTTGTGGACTTCAACTCCCAAAAGAGCTGGCTGGAGAATTCTGGGAGTTGAAGTCCACAAGTCTTAAAGTTGCCACGTTTGCAGACATCTGACATAGGGGAACACAAAGTGAAGAGGAAGCCCCAGAACTAGCCTCCTTAGAAGATCAAGAATAAGCCTGTTAAAACCTTGGTTGTTAAGATCACTTTAAAGCCGTTACTCAGTTGGTTTTCTGAGCTTGAGATTGGTGAGCTTGGCTTTTTGAATTTCTTAAGCATGAAAGATTTTTGGGGGAAAATAAAAGGAATGAAGGTAGGAGTGGTTGGATAGTTCTTGTAATCTGCAAACCGCTGCTCTTTCGATGGTGATATGCTATCAAGCCTAAGGGGAGGGGGAAATCTGTTGTATCGTGAATTTCTATCTAATTGGAGCTTTTCTTTTGATCGTCTTCCAAGTATTATTTTTTATTGTAAACAAAAAATGTGAAATGTAATTTTTACAACAGCAATATGAAATATATTTTATAATAAAAGGATATGGCCTGGTAGATGCCGGTTTCTGTATTTTTTGTTCCTTTTTGGAAGGGAGGGAGGGTGGGTAGGTAAGTAGGCTTACATACAAATGATTCTTCCTCCTACTTTTCCAGAAGACTATTGACTCATACCCTGTTTCTCTGAAAATAACCTCCCCAAGTAATAAGCCCAATTGGACTTTTGAGTGCATGTGCTAAAATAAGCTCTCCCCCCAAAATAAACCCTTCCTGAAAATATTGCAACACAGCAGCAGCCATGAAAGGACCACGCTCACCTACTGCACCTCAAAAATAATAAGACCTCCCTGAAAATAAGACCAAGCGCTTAATTCTGGTGTCAAAAAAAAATAAGACCCTGTCTTAGTTTGGGGAAAACACGGTAGTCCCAACTGGTGAGGATGTGTAAGGAGGCATAGAAAGTGGACTTTTAAATTAAACCAGGCTACTGGTAAAACTATTAACCCAATAGCCAGACCGGACTATTCATGTGGAGCCGAGATGTCTGGCCAGAGGTACTTCTTGAGAGTCTATTATTTGAAGAAGTTTCTTGTTGAACAGTTTTCCCTGTTAGAAAGTTCTTACTGATACCGAACTAAATTCTACTTCATTGTAATTTAACACTGTGCTCAAAAGCTGAGGGATGATCATATCTGTCTCTACAACTGAGATGATAAGTGACACTTTCCTCCCTCTGGCATTTTTCAAGCTAGAAATGTCTTGATTAGTACACAAGTCAACTTGTATAATTGGGCAAAAGGAGTGTCTCAAAATGCATTTGTACTGGTATAGATACAAAGGTCATCCAAATAGGGAACTGGCGCCCCAAAGCTTCATGATTCCTCTTAAAGCAGATCTGCATATATTTCAACCATAAACTTTGGTGGATCATCAGATAAATGTGGCCAGTTCTCAAGTGTTGGGCAGACCAGTAAGTATAACTGGTGATATAACTGTCTGCTATAAACATAGTTTAACATATAGCAGCTCCAGCTCAGTTGCAATTCAATGAAAGGTACAATGAGTGTTAATAGCAGTGGAAATTTTAGACAACCTGAAAGTGCAAAGAACAGTCTCTAAGGTTATTTGTGAAAAGCAGCTCCATAGCAGGAAGATATTGTAATGGGGAAGCTTGCAAACTAGAAAGCATCTTTCAACAATGGTTAATAATGGTACGTTTTGGTCTATCTAGTGTTTCTACTACAGGATGTTCCTTTTTATTACTCTAGTTAAATCACTACGGTTGAGTGATCTTAAATCTTTCTGCCCTAAACTTCAAGAATGCCAGCATGGAATGAGTTAAAAGACACATTGTTTTATAGCACATCTCAAGCACTTGGCATTCTTAGGTGTATGTTTTTTTTTTGTTTTTTTTAATGAACAGAAGTAGTTGGGTTAGGTATAGTTAGGTGTGGCATTAATAGGAGATCTTCTTCATGGAATTTCCGACCTCATTTTTAATTGCAATGAAATAATGGTTCCACAGAACATCATGTGCAGGAGATGAAACACCTCTGGGTTGGCTTAACTAGTTGGATAGCTGACTCCCTAGGTTGGACAGAATTGGGAAAGAAATTTCATTGCTAGAGTTGGTTGCCTGCCTACAGTATAAAGAAGCTAATCATGGTTAAAGACCTAAGATAGACAGGAATAAGGAAGCTGCCTACTTGTTCATGTTAACCAGCCAGAGTAGTTTAACAATTCAGGCAAATTTGTCCCTGCAGTGTCCCCATATTTTTTCCAATTTTTTATTCCATGAACATGATTTTGTGCAATCTCATTATGTCTTGAAAGTTCTAGACTAAGCATTAGTTTCTTAGACCAAAATCAGTTTTCTACTGATGTAGTTGCTCCTGTAGTAGTCAAGCTGGACCAAGCAAAACAGAACAAAAAAGGTGACCAAGTGCTGTTCCTAGTATATAATTCCTAGCTGTACTATTTTCCTAAATCAATACACATCAAGATACTTTAAAACATTACATAAAGTATATTATTTAGACATAATAAAACAGTTGTCAATTAAATTGTTTTAGTGATCAGTTTCACAACTTTAAAAAATATACAAAAACAATTAGTTAAGAAAGAGATGTAAATTAAAGTGTAACAGCAGGGTTTTAATCTCTTGGTGATTCAATTTTTTAAAACAATGATTTAAATTACATTAAATAAACTAATCCAGAATGAAACAATCTCAAAAGGAACACTATCAATTTTCCAACAGTTCTACCACATCTTAAGAAGCCACACAATTTCAGCAACACTTTTCAACCAGGAATCTAACCCTTAAGTCTGCTAAATGCCTGCACTTTGTATCTTTTATGAAATTTATGACTTTTCCTTTACAGCTATTGCGTATTTTGACATCAGAGATAGTCCTCATTTAGCAACTGTTTAGCAAATGACAGTGATGAAAAAGTAACTTTGGGACCAGTCCTCAAATTTATGAACTTCACAGGTCTGTAAAGCAAAGGAAAACCGATGTAAGGTCATAAGCAGTCATCTCACTTAGTGACCACTTCATTTAATGACTGAGTTGCTGGTCTCAACTGTGATTGCTGAGCAAGGACTATCTGTATTTACTGAGCTAAATGTGTGTGTAGTATGCAATTTAAAAGTACCAACTTTTTCCTTCAAGATCGCTCCTATCTTAGAAGCCCCCTTTTGCATTTTCCTTGCAGGCATTGCTTATCCTTCTCTTAATTGCCAGTGTTTCTTTTACCCTTCTGCCCTTGCCTCAACTTAGGACAGACCTTGATCAGAAATATTCAGCCTGATTTCAGTGATCTGCATTTCTACTTTGATCTTTTACTGGCTTACAGCACAATTCTATGCAAACCTACTCGGCGGTTAAGTCCCGTTATGTAGCTTATCTCCAGGAATGTATTAAAAATTTGTAGTAATCAATTACAGACCTTTAAAGCTTTAATGTATTAAAACTTTCCCTTTTGCTTGCAAACACACCTGGATGCTTTCCCCCCCATTCTGTAGGTTATCAGACTAATTTCGTTCTTTTGTAAAAGCTGTAACTGGCACTGCCAGGGGAAACAGCATGGTTAATTTCACTCCACACAATTATTTTATTAAATTTAGATGGTTTCTCTGAAAGTGTTCAAAATTTTCTTGCAGATATATACTTTAACTTTTATTAGAAAAAAACATTCTTTGCAAGCAATGTAAAATTTAATTATGCATACTTTTCAATTTAAACAATACGTTAGAATTGCCAATCTATTTCTAATCTATATTTGCAACGACCACAGCAGAGACTTCTTAAGAGAATGACTATCAACAAAATAACTTTTTCATATGGCTACCTTCAAAAATACAATTAAGTCTACACAGGTTGGTGAAAAGTCCAATTTAAATATTTCGAAGTAATGCTTGTTTTCTGAAGATCTTTCTGTGCATATAAACACGATTTCTTTTCTGCATAGGTCCCCCCCCCCCCCCTTTTCCTACTGCAATCTTTATTGTCTTTCCCTGGTGTGAATCCTCTGATGCAAAGTTAGGCTTGTGTTTCGACTGAAGCTCTTTCCACACTCCAAGCATTTATAGGGCTTCTCCCCCGTGTGAATCCTTCTATGTGAAACAAGATCTGTGCTCTGGCCAAAGTACTTCCCGCACTCCGAGCATGGATATGGTTTCTCTCCTGTGTGGATTCTATGATGCCTAACCAGGCTGGACTGAGTGGTAAAACTGAGGCCACAGTCTGAGCAGCTGTATGTCTTTTCCCCGGTGTGAATCCGCTTGTGTTTCACCAGGCTTGAATGGTCCCGGAAGCTGAGGCCACAATCCAAGCAGCTGAAAGGCCTCTCTCCAGTGTGTGTCCTTTGATGCGAAGAAAGGCTTGTGCTCCGACTGAAGTTCTTTCCACACTCCAGGCATTTGTATGGCTTCTCCCCTGTGTGGCTTCTCTCGTGCTTAATGAAGCTTGACTGGTCAGAGAAGCTCTTGTTGCAGTCTAAGCAGCTGTACGGTCTCTCCCCGGTGTGGATTCTCCGGTGCAAAGTCAGGCTCGTGCTTCGGCTGAAGCTCTTTCCGCACTCTAAGCATTTATAGGGTTTCTCGCCGGTGTGGGTTCTTTTGTGTGAAGCCAGGTCTGTGCTCTGACCGAAGTATTTCCCGCATTCCGTGCACCGATATGGTTTCTCTCCTGTATGGATTCTCTGATGTCTAACTAAGCTCGACTGAGTGCTAACGCTCAAGCCGCAGTCTGGGCAACGGTAGGGTTTTTCCCCAGTGTGAATCCGCTTGTGTTTAATAAGGCCTGAATGGTCCCGGAAACTCAGGCCACAGTCCAAGCAGCTGAATGGCCTCTCCCCTGTGTGCGTCCTTTGATGCGAAGAAAGGCTTGTGCTTGAATTGAAGCCCTTCCCACACTCCAGGCATTTATAGGGCTTCTCCCCTCTGTGAATCCTCTGATGCGAAGAGACGCTTGAGCTGTGACTGAAGCCCTTTCCACACTCCAAACATTTGTAGAGTTTCTTGTCTTCCAGAAACGTTTGACCATCAGCAAGGTTTTGGTTCCAATTCACACTCTTCCCAAATTTGAAGTTTTTACTTGACTTTCCCTCTGCATGGATGAACTGGTGAATAGTCAGACAATTGTTACATCTTTTATCTGTTTGGCTGCTAGGCTGAACTGAGGTTTCATTGAAATTTCTGCCTTGAGAAGTAATAGATTTATCACCTCTTTTCTCCACAAAACTTCCATCTTCTCCCATTGGTCTACTTTGATTCCAAAAATTTTCTTTCAGTTCCTCAGATTTGACTCTTTCTGATGGTTTCCCATCACTCTCACTCTTCCATCCATTATCCACTGGAATAAAAAGAGAAATCCAACAAAATTTCTAAGTAGGACCTCCAGACATTGTGTTACATATCTAGTTAGTTTCTTAGGGCCAACTCCCCCCCGCCAACAGTTAACTAGTCGCCTAGGTCCTTCCTAGGTAATCTGCTGCAGGGTTTATCTCTCTTTCCATTAGGATTCTGACTTACAGCGACAAATATAATCTTAATGGTTCTTCTCTGCAACATGCTTAATAATCAGCTAGAACCTCAGTACTCTACATCTCATTAGCAGTGATTTTGGCAGCACATTGCTGCTTTAATTGGGTCAACAACTGCTATTTTAGGAAAATACTCTCCACCTCACTATACCTGGTATCTTATGAGTCCTTGTGTCAGTCAAATACTGGTAAGCTTTATTGTATGACTAACCCCATCCCTTTTGACAAGAAAGCAGCGGTAAGGGAAGTTTGCCTCTTGGTGCGCTATATACTCTGAAAAATATGGTATTTACTCGTGTTTGCACACTTTCGCACTGCTAGGTTGACAGGAGCTGAAGCGAATCATGTGAGCTCACCCCATCACACAGCAGCATTTGGGTCTCAAATGTGGGCTTACAGGTTCACCGACAAAACCGAGAAGCCGTTATCCGCGCCGACATAAGTGCGGAGGGCAAATCCGCGCCGTTCGAAGCGCTAAGGAAAAAGGCGACCCTAGCGCGACGACATAACTGCGGAGGGCAAATCCACGCTTTCCGAAGCACTCAGCACCCTAACCTAACCCTAAACCAAACCCCTAAACCTAATCCTAACCCTTATCTTAATTTAAATCGGCTTTCTGCCGCCGCGCTGTTTTAAAGCGCCCTTCTGTCGCCGCGGTGACAACGTCACGGTGATGACGTCACGGCTTTAGCGACCCGGTTTTGTCGCCGCTATTTTGACGAGCGCGGTTTTGTCGGGCCACGGGGCTTACAAATTGTCAACCCAACATTCCAACCAGTAGAGGGTTCCGCATCCCGTTGCAACCGGTATGCTGCAATGGCGCCGGGCGTCCTTGTCAGGCACGTGCACCGTGTACGCATGCACACACTACCACCTAGTGATACTCAGCTGCTCGGCATAAGTTGCACAGGTGCCGCATGAACAATTGGCCCGTTTGCATCAAAAAGCAGTAAGAAACATGGACGAGCAGGTGGGCCAAACGAGCCACCATTCTGGTATGGTGGCCGCTGCTCCCAGCTACCACTGGTACACCCGTATCGGGCCATACCACCCAGAACCCATCACTGATTCCAACCATGTGAGCTACTGTGCTTGGTTAACTCTCCTAAAAGCATCAAAAATTAAGGTTACAAATTTGGTGCTTCAAACATCCAGATGAGTCAACATGGAAGCAAACAGACTTCTAACTCTGCTATCATTTGTTGTGGTCTGAAGTTTTGCACCCCAGGTTTGGCAACTTCACCAAAATGCCACAAACTAGGGATCTCACTGAATTTCACTATGTTGATTTGTACCATTTTAGCAACTTGTGCACTAATTAGGTGCAGACAATAACTTTTATGTCCATGCTGGTGATCTTTATGCTGTGATATACTTTTTTTTTTCATTTTGTCTGAGAGTAAATCCAGATCATTGGATGTAATTCATAGTATTAATGGGCATCTTGGAAGTTCTATACGGCCTGCAGCCTGGATAGTTTTGGGACAAGCTACTCCCAGCAGTTACCAGTCAAACCTAGATGGGAAGATTCTCTTGGAATCCCTACTCCAAAGCAAGCAACCATCAAGCATAAAGCTAAGCCCTTTTCTCCTGCTGCCCCACTACTATGAACTAACATTCCCACTATGATTAGCCCAGCACCAGTCCTCTTGCAATTTAACAAAGCTATTAAGACTAAGCCAGGCAAGAAGTGACTTAAGACTGACTTGAGAAATGAGATTCCCCACCCAAGAAATTCTTGATCTGTTTTCTAGGAATGCTGTTTCTGGGCATAACGCAATTAGAATTACTATGGTTATATTCGGTTACTGTATTTTAAAATCCGTTTACTGAAATGGAATTAATGCTGCGTGAAGCCAGTTGCAACTGAAGCAGCCCAGAAATTCCATAATACAGAAGTACACAGCAGCTTACTCAACAATCCATGATGAAAATAAGACGTGGCTTAGTGTTAAGAGGGACAAAAATGAGCAAAGCTCATAAAATATTCCCATAGTCCTTACCAGTGTCAATTCTCAACTGGACACTAGTTCCACAAGGAGCTGGGCTCCCTTCTATGCAGGGAATGCTGTTATTTGCTTTCTCCCCTGGGGTGTTTTTTGCTCTTTCTTGGCTTGCTAAGGTCTTTGACCACTCCCAGTTCTGGAAACCACAATCTTCTCCTTTACAGGCTGACTTGCCATATAATTCCATTGGTTTTGAATCTTCTGGTGCGTGTCTCTCCTCGCTGATTCTGATTAAATGCTCCTGGCCTGTTGAAGTAATTTAAAAAACAAACAAACAATTTGTTCCCCAAATTAGAAAATATGCAACTTCAAAATTATTTTCTATACGTATGTGTAAACGGAATGAAGTGGAAGAATCACCTTTCAGATTTCAGAAGGCATTTAGCTATCTCATGCATACATCAGATTAAGAATCCAAAATTCTGAGCATAATTTTTCTATCTCTTCCATATACTGAACTTTATCCGAGTACAAAATAATTATATGCTTCTCAACACTCTGTTGCCTCTAGTCATTATGAAAAATCATGACTGCTTATAAGCCTAAAATAAAAAAATAAAAAAATGTTATCAAACATTCTAAGATAAAGACTTATGCAATTGTGAAGGTGAAGAATCCCCAGGTGCATAAGAAAATATATTTATTGAGCCCAAATGCATTTCAAAAATAAACCTATGCTGCATTATCTGGGTTTTTTCTTCTCCTTCTTTTCAATACAATCAGGCCTTTCACCTTTCCTCCCTTTTTCATATCCCAAAGACCTTAAATAAAATAAGTTCCAAAAGAAATTAAGTGGAGGTTGTAAATTTAGACCATGTGGGTGGCCTCGGTAGTCTGCTTTTAAAAGATCAAATAACATTCAAGAAACCTTGGGAAAATTATTTTCTCTACCCATTTCCATTTCGCGACCGAAGGATGTGGATTCTGAAAGCATACATCATCCTTTCTCTTCTCTGAAGGAAGGAGTCCTAGCTGAACACAATGAAATTTAGAATACACACAAGGGCATTTCGCATTACCCAAGAAGCAGATATCCACTGTTTCATCTACTCTCTTGGTTACAGCACATAGAAGTTTCCTTTCCATGTTAGTTGGAGCTTCGTCTTGCTAGAAGTTTGAAGTTTTCTTTTCCAGTGGTAGGAATGAATCCTTTCAAGATAAAGCAAACAAGCTGAACGGGCATAAAAAACATAAAATATCCAATTCTGTTTAGTAGCCCCATTAGCACATACTAGAGCAGTGGTGGCTTTTTGGCACCAAGCGCTGACACTGGAGTGTGCACTTGTGCTGGACCACCAAAACGAGAAGAGAACAGCTGCTCATGTGCACGTAGCCAGCAGCTCTCTTCCAGGTTCCATCACATCCATGTGCGCCGGCCAGCTGGACTTCATGCATGCGCGCAATGAAACCCGGAAGTGCAGTGGGCAATGGTGCGTGTGCCCAGAGAGAGGGCTCAATGTGCCATCTCTGACACGTATGCCATAGGTTCGCCATCACAGCGCTAGATGAACATCAGGACTGAATTACTTGAATGTATATATTAAATTTATTGAGGCCTTTGGTTGGAAACTAGTTACACATAGTTCATGATGATCTTGCACGGAGTTGACTCAAGAGGACAGAAGAGGAAGTTTCCGTACTTCAGCCTGTGAAAATATCCTCTTATGGCTAGACTGACCCTACAAAAATGATATCCAATTCCACAAAATTAATGCAAATAGGAAAGTCTTTTATGCTTCCTTTTGATATCAACCCTGATTTTCAATGCTGTTGGACTTAATGGCCTAAATATTTCTTTCCACCTCTGTATAATAAACGCTATGACCTAAGTTTTTCCAATGTAAGGGGAAAAATATGAATTCATTAAAACTTGGTCTTTTTGTAAGGTGGAAATAAAGTAGAGCAGGAATTCTTAATAGAATTTCAATATAAAACCAATAAAATTAATTTGGTTGATCTAAAAGCAAAAAAGATAGTAATAGATTATCACTTTAGATAAATGAAGGTTTACAATCCCTGATGGTTTCAAACTCTAGCTGTTTTCTCTTTCTCTTACTGTTATCCATATAATTACTTATGTCCACGTCCTTCCATCCTTGAAGTGGCTCTTTTATAAAACAAAACAGAGCAAAATCTCCTATAACAGATCTTACCATGATAAAACTACAGCATGTAAGGCACAAAATACACTATATTGCCAAAAGTATTCGCTCACAACTGATTCTGAGGATGAGTGAGCAAATACTTTGGGCAATATAGTGTATGTAGCATGTAACAACACAAAATATGGTTTTCTCTTCTGGAAGTTACATAATCACCAAATTATATCAATGGTGATGAATTAAGAGAAGTTGTCAAAATGTCCAGCTATACATATATATCTTAGTTAGGTTATTTCAAAATCCTTATTCTTTCTTCTGTTTCTTTTACAGTTTTTTGTTGTTTTTCTGTTTTGTATGTTGCTTTTTATGATAAAACAGATAAATAACAGACAAGGAATTTATGTATAACAGTAATATTACCGTATTGAAATTTGAATTTTTCCAGCTTCTTCTAGTGAAACTACAGTCATTGACCTTTTCTGCCACAGTTGTTAAGTGAATCTCTGCAGTTGTTAAGTGAACCCAGCTTCCCCCATTGACTTTGCTTGTCAGAAGACACCTTGGAAGGTTCAAATGGTGATCAGATAGCCCTGGAACAGTGCAACATCATAAATATGTGCCAATAATTTTGATCACATGACCATAAGGATAGTGCAACAGTCATAAATGCGAGAACGAGAAGTGGTCATAAGTCACTTTTTTCAGTGTCATTGTAAATTTAAACAGTCACTAACTGGTTATAAGTCAATGACTACCTGTATATCATAAATTAACCTAACAGCAGGGTTTGCTCACTATGGTAAACTACAAAAAATCTAAGAGATTAATTCCGCCCAATCTTATTATGGTGTACAAATGCACCCACCAAATCTTTAATTAAACGGGATGTATTCCCAAACAGGTTAGATCTAGGACTAGTTCCCAATTGATTTTAAGACAGGGGTCCCCAACTTTTCGGACCTCAGGGACCACTAAATTCATAATTTGAATCCCATGGGCCACTAATGACCGGCTAGGTAGGTGTGGCTAGGTGGCCATGTGACTGAGTGGGCATGGCCAACTTGATATCACTCATGTCAAGAGGCACCTCTACTTGCCCCTCTCCTCCCAGCCACTCCTCGCCTGCCTGCCCAGGCTCCTTAGGGCCCCAACAGGAAGCAATTGTTGGAGCTAAGCAGCCACCATAAGAAAGAGTTGGCAAAACAGCTGGCTCAGTTCAAATTGGATCTGACCAAGAAGGAGGCTCAGCAGAAGGACTTTACTGAGGACTAAGAGCATAGACTTTCCAAGCAGAGGGAAGATCTGCAGGAGTTCAAGGCCAGGTACTGGCGCCTGGAGGCTCAACAGGCTGAGATGATCAGCCAGTTCCAGGCCATGATGCAGTCCCACTGGAACAAGGCCCTCCAGCTCTTTGCCACCATCAGCACTTCCCTCCACCCTTCACCCAAATCCCCACACCAGGAGGCTGAAGCAGACCCCAAGTCAGAAGTTCTCCCCTCCTCCGACCCCTGCAAAAAGACCCAGAAGGGGGAGACTCACTGCAGCAACACAAGTGTTCATTGCATGTATCTGGCCCAGGGACCATAGTTTGAGGACCCCTGATTTAGTGCAATATAAAAAATGCAAATAATTTTTCTGCAGACCACCCAAATGTTCTCGCGGACCACCAGCAGTCCATGGACCACCAGTTTGTGACTGCTGCTTTAAGAAACAGAAGCCTCAAATTACTGCATATACAAGCATATTACATGCTTCCTTATCAGTACGAAAAGCATGGTAAACTGTGAGAAGTGAAGTCCTCCAAAAATGGGTGTCCCAATCTGTGCAAGAGGCTTTGTGTGTAGGCTATCACTAGAGATCACCCTCAATATCTGAATATAAGTGGAAGGACATTTCTCTCTCCACATCTCCCCTCCTCATGCACACACACACACAGAGGGCATACACCCTGCAGCTTGTTTCAGCTGCTGTCTGAACAATCTCAAGGCATACTTTATAGTAATTTAGCCTGGCTGGCTGTAACCCCACACATCATGGAAGCTGGGTCAATTTTATCTACAAAAAGATTGCAGCCATCGAACTAGCGAAAGCTAAGCCACCAACCCAGAATCACTCTAAGCTTTAAAAGGGGGAAAGCCTCCAGCTAAGAATTATATTGCAAACTTCCTACCTTCCTTGCTGAGCTGCAGATTTTGCTCCCTGCCACCTGCCTGGACTTAGGCTTCACTTGGCGTGCTTCCCTCCCCCGCCCCTTTCTCGTCTTCCAACCCATCCCTCTAATAAGACCGGCTTGTGATCGACATCCTGATAATCTCCTTGCAGATTTCCAGCTAAGCTTTCCCTGCAATTTCTCTCTCTACAGGTGTTCAATGAAGCCCGAGGGAGGGCGTATTCAGAGAGAGAAACTACAAAACCCGTCACCAGGTATCGCAAAGGTCCCCTTTCCGCTATTATAAACGCGCAGAGGGAGGAAAACTGGTCCCTTGTGTGAGCTGGGGGCTACGGGGGATGAGAAGGAGAGGCAGCTTCGTGTCCTTCCGATCTGCTTCTCAGCCTCTTTCGGTTTTTTTTTCTTGCGGGTGGGGGGGAAATCCCGCTCCCAACACTCACCCAGGTCTGTCCAAGCCCTTTTCTCCCACCTTCCAGCTTGTGCAATGCAAGAGAAACATCCCCCTCCACC